AAGGGGCTGTTCCACATCAGTGGACCTCTTCAAGTAGAGATCATAGTACCAATTAGTGAAGAAGTTAGGCTTATGGCTTCTAAGGCCTCTTGTGACCTTGAGAGTCTATGAATCACCTTTCTGGAATTTGAATTGAGTTCAGGGCAAATGAACCACTCAAGAATTATTTTGGGAAATGAATTAATAGAAGTCACTAAGCTATTTGAATATGTTAGTAGCGGTACAGTGAAGTGGTCAGTAGGCATGTAACATCTCAATTTGACTGGCCCTAACCCTTGTTTGCTCTGTGATCTTGAATAACTTAATTAGCTCTCTAAACTCAATTTCATCATCTGTAAAACGGAGTAATAATAGTGCTTACTTTACAGGATTGTTAGAGACAACATAAGATTGTTTCACAGTTTGTAAGTTATCTATCTTAAAAGAGAGAGTGAGTGTAATGTGCTTCGGATTTTGTCTAGCACATAGGAAATATTCATTAAATGATATCTCTGTTATTACTTGATTTTAAAACCTTTTAAAAATGCTTTTGCTGTTTTATTTATTTCACTGTTTTATTTTAATCACCTTTTCGGGTACTTGCCTAAGCTTATTTGTGTAGAAGTAATATTTTCTATTCGCGTTAATTTATCCAAAATTTATAATATTTTAAAAAGGAAAGACGATATAAGTTTGTCTTTGCTGGTCTCTGACTATGTACAGTGTTTCTCTTGGTGTGCCTTGTTTGCTCATTTTTAAAAATATTCTTTTGTTATTTGGAGGGTTTGTATTTATTTCTTTTATAGTGTCTTTAAACCACCTTTTTTTTTTTTTTTAACTGTACTATCTGGTCAGTCAGTGTTTAATGGTATCCTTTGATTCCTCCCATGACCTGTATGACAGTGATCTAATTCTGCTTGTCTCTTTTTTCTCTTCCCATTATTTTTAGTTGCATTCTTTCTACTTTGTCAGAACATATAACATTTAAGTATTGTTATTCTACCCAAGGCTCCACTCTTCCTTTAGTCTTTGCTTTACAATTGATATGTGTCCTTTGCTGATGTATCCCTGGTTATCTCTTGTTTAGATGAAGCACATCCTCTAGAAGATTCCTCTGGAAGGGCTTGTGTGTACAACAATTCCTGGAGTTACTGCACATTCAAAATGTTTTTTTTATAACCTTGGTATTTGAAGGACAGCTTGGTTGGGTGTAAAATCCTTGGCTTACACTTAAAAAAATCAGCTTTATTGATGTATAAATTACATAAAAATACACCAATTTTAAGATTACAATTTGAAAAGTTTGACAAACAAGTGTAGTTGTGTAACCACCACCCTGATGATATAGAACAGGGGTCAGCAAACTATAGCTCACAAGCCAAATCTGGCCTACTGCCTATTTTTAGAAATAAAGACATTTTAATACAGCCGCACCACTTCGTTTAGTATTGTCCGTGGCTGTTCTCCACTAGGTCAGCAGAGTTGAGTAGTTGCATCAGACTGTATAGCCTCCAAAGCCTAAAATAGTTACTATCTGGACCTTTATAGAAGTTCTCTGATTTCTGGTACAGAACATTTCTTTTACTTACGAAGTTCCCTCCTGCCCCGTTGCAATTAATCTCCTCCTTTCACCCCCAATCCCTAGCAACCACAGATTGGCCTTGTGCCATTATAGTTTTGGCTTTTCTAGAGTTTGATATAAATGGAATCTTACAATGTATAGTCTCCTCGTCTGGCTCCTTCACTGAGATTAGTGCTCTTGAGATTCATCCATGTTGTTGGGTGTATCAGTAGTTTGCTCCTTTTTACTGTTGACTTACACTTTCTTTCTTATTTTTTTGAAAATGCTGCTTTGTTCTTGCTGTGCTTTGAATATTGCTCTTAAGAAGCCTGATGGTTGCCTATTTTTTTTTTTTTTACCCTTATTAGGTAATTTGATCTTTTTGCCTTGAGGTTCTGAGGATTTTTTTCCTTGCCTTTAAAATCTGATATTTTTATTAGTATATGTCTTGAAGTTAATTGTTCCTGGTAATACTTTTACTTACTTTCTGCTAAGTTTTCTTAGAATATAGTTTTAAATATTGGTTCTGTTTAATCAGCTGAAATTTTTTTTTTTTTTT